TGTGTTGATACACAGCTTGGTGCCATTGTGTTGATACACAGCTTGGTGCCGTTCTGTTGACACACAGCTTGGTGCCATTGTGTTGATACACAGCTTGGTGCCATTGTGTTGATACACAGCTTGGTGCCATTGTGTTGATACACAGCTTGGTGCCATTGTGTTGATACACAGCTTGGTGCCATTGTGTTGATACACAGCTTGGTGCCATTGTGTTGATACACAGCTTGGTGCCGTTCTGTTGACACACAGCTTGGTGCCATTGTGTTGATACACAGCTTGGTGCCATTGTGTTGATACACAGCTTGGTGCCATTGTGTTGATACACAGCTTGGTGCCGTTCTGTTGACACACAGCTTGGTGCCATTGTGTTGATACACAGCTTGGTGCCATTGTGTTGATACACAGCTTGGTGCCGTTCTGTTGACACACAGCTTGGTGCCATTGTGTTGATACACAGCTTGGTGCCATTGTGTTGATACACAGCTTGGTGCCATTGTGTTGATACACAGCTTGGTGCCATTGTGTTGATACACAGCTTGGTGCCATTGTGTTGATACACAGCTTGGTGCCATTGTGTTGATACACAGCTTGGTGCCATTGTGTTGATACACAGCTTGGTGCCATTGTGTTGATACACAGCTTGGTGCCATTGTGTTGATACACAGCTTGGTGCCATTGTGTTGATACACAGCTTGGTGCCATTGTGTTGATACACAGCTTGGTGCCATTGTGTTGATACACAGCTTGGTGCCATTGTGTTGATACACAGCTTGGTGCCATTGTGTTGATACACAGCTTGGTGCCATTGTGTTGATACACAGCTTGGTGCCATTGTGTTGATACACAGCTTGGTGCCATTGTGTTGATACACAGCTTGGTGCCATTGTGTTGATACACAGCTTGGTGCCATTGTGTTGATACACAGCTTGGTGCCATTGTGTTGATACACAGCTTGGTGCCATTGTGTTGATACACAGCTTGGTGCCATTGTGTTGATACACAGCTTGGTGCCATTGTGTTGATACACAGCTTGGTGCCATTGTGTTGATACACAGCTTGGTGCCATTGTGTTGATACACAGCTTGGTGCCATTGTGTTGATACACAGCTTGGTGCCATTGTGTTGATACACAGCTTGGTGCCATTGTGTTGATACACAGCTTGGTGCCATTGTGTTGATACACAGCTTGGTGCCGTTGTGTCGATACACAGCTTGGTGCCATTGTGTTGATACACAGCTTGGTGCCATTGTGTTGATACACAGCTTGGTGCCGTTCTGTTGACACACAGCTTGGTGCCATTGTGTTGATACACAGCTTGGTGCCATTGTGTTGATACACAGCTTGGTGCCATTGTGTTGATACACAGCTTGGTGCCATTGTGTTGATACACAGCTTGGTGCCATTGTGTTGATACACAGCTTGGTGCCATTGTGTTGATACACAGCTTGGTGCCGTTCTGTTGACACACAGCTTGGTGCCATTGTGTTGATACACAGCTTGGTGCCATTGTGTTGATACACAGCTTGGTGCCATTGTGTTGATACACAGCTTGGTGCCGTTCTGTTGACACACAGCTTGGTGCCATTGTGTTGATACACAGCTTGGTGCCATTGTGTTGATACACAGCTTGGTGCCGTTCTGTTGACACACAGCTTGGTGCCATTGTGTTGATACACAGCTTGGTGCCATTGTGTTGATACACAGCTTGGTGCCATTGTGTTGATACACAGCTTGGTGCCATTGTGTTGATACACAGCTTGGTGCCATTGTGTTGATACACAGCTTGGTGCCATTGTGTTGATACACAGCTTGGTGCCATTGTGTTGATACACAGCTTGGTGCCATTGTGTTGATACACAGCTTGGTGCCATTGTGTTGATACACAGCTTGGTGCCATTGTGTTGATACACAGCTTGGTGCCATTGTGTTGATACACAGCTTGGTGCCATTGTGTTGATACACAGCTTGGTGCCATTGTGTTGATACACAGCTTGGTGCCATTGTGTTGATACACAGCTTGGTGCCATTGTGTTGATACACAGCTTGGTGCCATTGTGTTGATACACAGCTTGGTGCCATTGTGTTGATACACAGCTTGGTGCCATTGTGTTGATACACAGCTTGGTGCCATTGTGTTGATACACAGCTTGGTGCCATTGTGTTGATACACAGCTTGGTGCCATTGTGTTGATACACAGCTTGGTGCCATTGTGTTGATACACAGCTTGGTGCCATTGTGTTGATACACAGCTTGGTGCCATTGTGTTGATACACAGCTTGGTGCCATTGTGTTGATACACAGCTTGGTGCCATTGTGTTGATACACAGCTTGGTGCCATTGTGTTGATACACAGCTTGGTGCCATTGTGTTGATACACAGCTTGGTGCCATTGTGTTGATACACAGCTTGGTGCCATTGTGTTGATACACAGCTTGGTGCCATTGTGTTGATACACAGCTTGGTGCCATTGTGTTGATACACAGCTTGGTGCCATTGTGTTGATACACAGCTTGGTGCCATTGTGTTGATACACAGCTTGGTGCCATTGTGTTGATACACAGCTTGGTGCCATTGTGTTGATACACAGCTTGGTGCCATTGTGTTGATACACAGCTTGGTGCCATTGTGTTGATACACAGCTTGGTGCCATTGTGTTGATACACAGCTTGGTGCCATTGTGTTGATACACAGCTTGGTGCCATTGTGTTGATACACAGCTTGGTGCCATTGTGTTGATACACAGCTTGGTGCCATTGTGTTGATACACAGCTTGGTGCCATTGTGTTGATACACAGCTTGGTGCCATTGTGTTGATACACAGCTTGGTGCCATTGTGTTGATACACATCTTGCTGCCATTGTGTTGATACACAGCTTGGTGCCATTGTGTTGATACACAGCTTGGTGCCATTGTGTTGATACACAGCTTGGTGCCATTGTGTTGATACACAGCTTGGTGCCATTGTGTTGATACACAGCTTGGTGCCATTGTGTTGATACACAGCTTGGTGCCATTGTGTTGATACACAGCTTGGTGCCATTGTGTTGATACACAGCTTGGTGCCATTGTGTTGATACACAGCTTGGTGCCATTGTGTTGATACACAGCTTGGTGCCATTGTGTTGATACACAGCTTGGTGCCATTGTGTTGATACACAGCTTGGTGCCATTGTGTTGATACACAGCTTGGTGCCATTGTGTTGATACACAGCTTGGTGCCATTGTGTTGATACACAGCTTGGTGCCATTGTGTTGATACACAGCTTGGTGCCATTGTGTTGATACACAGCTTGGTGCCATTGTGTTGATACACAGCTTGGTGCCATTGTGTTGATACACAGCTTGGTGCCATTGTGTTGATACACAGCTTGGTGCCATTGTGTTGATACACAGCTTGGTGCCATTGTGTTGATACACAGCTTGGTGCCATTGTGTTGATACACAGCTTGGTGCCATTGTGTTGATACACAGCTTGGTGCCATTGTGTTGATACACAGCTTGGTGCCATTGTGTTGATACACAGCTTGGTGCCATTGTGTTGATACACAGCTTGGTGCCATTGTGTTGATACACAGCTTGGTGCCATTGTGTTGATACACAGCTTGGTGCCATTGTGTTGATACACAGCTTGGTGCCATTGTGTTGATACACAGCTTGGTGCCATTGTGTTGATACACAGCTTGGTGCCATTGTGTTGATACACAGCTTGGTGCCATTGTGTTGATACACAGCTTGGTGCCATTGTGTTGATACACAGCTTGGTGCCATTGTGTTGATACACAGCTTGGTGCCATTGTGTTGATACACAGCTTGGTGCCATTGTGTTGATACACAGCTTGGTGCCATTGTGTTGATACACAGCTTGGTGCCATTGTGTTGATACACAGCTTGGTGCCATTGTGTTGATACACAGCTTGGTGCCATTGTGTTGATACACAGCTTGGTGCCATTGTGTTGATACACAGCTTGCTGCAATTGTGTTGATACACAGCTTGCTGCCATTGTGTTGATACACAGCTTGGTGCCATTGTGTTGATACACAGCTTGGTGCCATTGTGTTGATACACAGCTTGGTGCCATTGTGTTGATACACAGCTTGGTGCCATTGTGTTGATACACAGCTTGGTGCCATTGTGTTGATACACAGCTTGGTGCCATTGTGTTGATACACAGCTTGGTGCCATTGTGTTGATACACAGCTTGGTGCCATTGTGTTGATACACAGCTTGGTGCCATTGTGTTGATACACAGCTTGGTGCCATTGTGTTGATACACAGCTTGGTGCCATTGTGTTGATACACAGCTTGGTGCCATTGTGTTGATACACAGCTTGGTGCCATTGTGTTGATACACAGCTTGGTGCCATTGTGTTGATACACAGCTTGGTGCCATTGTGTTGATACACAGCTTGGTGCCATTGTGTTGATACACAGCTTGGTGCCATTGTGTTGATACACAGCTTGGTGCCATTGTGTTGATACACAGCTTGGTGCCATTGTGTTGATACACAGCTTGGTGCCATTGTGTTGATACACAGCTTGGTGCCATTGTGTTGATACACAGCTTGGTGCCATTGTGTTGATACACAGCTTGGTGCCATTGTGTTGATACACAGCTTGGTGCCATTGTGTTGATACACAGCTTGGTGCCATTGTGTTGATACACAGCTTGGTGCCATTGTGTTGATACACAGCTTGGTGCCATTGTGTTGATACACAGCTTGGTGCCATTGTGTTGATACACAGCTTGGTGCCATTGTGTTGATACACAGCTTGGTGCCATTGTGTTGATACACAGCTTGGTGCCATTGTGTTGATACACAGCTTGGTGCCATTGTGTTGATACACAGCTTGGTGCCATTGTGTTGATACACAGCTTGGTGCCATTGTGTTGATACACAGCTTGGTGCCATTGTGTTGATACACAGCTTGGTGCCATTGTGTTGATACACCGCAGAAACCTTATCCTCCCTCCCCCCCCCTTTGGCCCAGTGGTTGGCTACGGCAGCTGTGGCAGGCGGGTGGCCTCGCAGCCGGGGCAGTTGTGCAGGCTCTCGTGGATGAAGACGTCGCAGTCAAAGCAGAAGTGCCGCGCACACACAGGGCACTCCACCCGCACTCCCCCTCCCTCCGTCTCTGCCCACAGTGACACGGTCAACAGTCAGTAAAAGGCCAGTCAGTGGGCAGCAGTGGACTGGCAGGTGGAAGGAAAACAAGACTGAGCAGACATGCTGGCAGCAAGGACGGGCAGACAAAGGATGGAGGTGGGCGAGGCAACGAATGACCCGAATGACTGGCCCTACTCCATCCCCCAACGGCGCATGCTCACCGAGGAAAGGCAGTGCAGCAGTGCAGCTGAAGCAGGCAGGCGGCAGGTCGCTGTGCGGGGCGGCAGGGGCTGCAGACCCAGCAGGTCGCTTAGGAGCGGGCGGCAGAGGGACCTCGGAGAAGGGCGGCACGGGGAAGAGGTGGTGGTAGGAACGGGCGAGGTGCGGCGAGGACACGAGCGTGAGCGCACACACGGGGCACTCCGCTGGCAGCGCACACACCCGCGAGCTGGGGGGTGGGGGGAGAGGTTTGAGGGAGGGAAGGGAAGGAGGGAGGAGAGAGGGGAGGGAGGGGGAAGGAAGGCAAGTGGCATGAGGTGGACGAAGTTGGGCCTTCGCTTGCAGCTGCGAGAGGGTGGGATGAAGATGCAGGGAAAATGTGGGGTGGGGTGAGGGGGAAGAGACAGAGAGGACGAAGAAGGCGAGCAGATGGAGGAAGTGATGCAGATGAGATGCCATGGGAATGGGTGGTAAGAAGAGCATGATTTCAAAGAGGGAGTGAGTGGCGTCTGGGAGCATAGCACCTGAACTTGGGGCACACATACCGGCACCAGGACAACACATACCGGCACCTGGGGCACACATACCGGCACCTGGGGCACACATACCGGCACCTGGGGCACACATACCGGCACCTGGGGCACACATACCGGCACCTGGGGCACACATACCGGCACCTGGGGCACACATACCGGCACCTGGGGCACACATACCGGCACCTGGGGCACACATACCGGCACCTGGGGCACACATACCGGCACCTGGGGCACACATACCGGCACCTGGGGCACACATACCGGCACCTGGGGCACACATACCGGCACCTGGGGCACACATACCGGCACCTGGGGCACACATACCGGCACCTGGGGCACACATACCGGCACCTGGGGCACACATACCGGCACCTGGGGCACACATACCGGCACCTGGGGCACACATACCGGCACCTGGGGCACACATACCGGCACCTGGGGCACACGTAGGTGGCGGCGAGGCGGAGGTGCATGTGGCAGGCGCACAGCGCCGCTGCCCCCTTGGGGGCGCGCTGGGGGAAGCCCATCCGCACGAGACTGGCTGCACTGCCCATACTGCCCGCCTGCACCGGTGGTGGTGGCGCGTGGCTCATCAGCAGCTCCCTCAGATGAGCCTGTGAGGGGATGGAGATGGGAACACAGGTGATGGAGGTGGACAGGAGGACGAAGAAAGGGAAGGGAGGGAGAGGCAGGAATCAGCGACACAAGCAGCAGGTGGCATGTATAGCCACGAAAATCTGGATAAGGCGGCACTGAAGCAAGCTCCTCACAAGGCTCGTGAAAGAGTGGGCAACTGCTGGGGTGCAAAAAGTCGAACAAGAGCAGCACAAGGTAGAGGCCTCATGGACAAGACTCCCCCACTGCCCTCGGTTCTGGCACCCTCCACTGACACCACTGTCCACCCCCCCACCCCACCCCAGAGTGCGCCCCTTCACTCCACAGGCTCACGGGACTCACGTCACCCCACAGGCCCCACCCCACGGGCCCCACCCCACGGGTCCCACCCCACAGGCCCACGGGCCCACAGGCCTCACGTCAACCCACGGGCCCCACCCCACAGCCCCACATCCCCACAGCCCCACATCCCCACAGCCCCACATCCCCACAGCCCCACATCCCCATGGGCCTCACGTCATCCCACGGGCCTCACGTCATCCCACGGGCCTCACGTCATCCCACGGGCCTCACGTCATCCCACGGGCCTCACGTCATCCCACGGGCCTCACGTCATCCCACGGGCCTCACGTCATCCCACGGGCCTCACGTCATCCCACGGGCCTCACGTCATCCCACGGGCCTCACGTCATCCCACGGGCCTCACGTCATCCATGGCGACGCTGTAGCGGCCGCCCGTCTGCTCTGCGATCTGCCGGCAGATGTGCACCTCAGCGCCGCCCACACCGATGATGGAGCAGCGCAGGTGGGCGGCGCGTGCGCGGCGGATGGCGGGGAGGATGTCGCCGGGGTCGGTGGAGGCGAGCGCCGCGAAGAGCAGCAGCAGCTCGCGGTGGCCGTACGCCGGCACGTGTGCCACCGCGTCCACCGCCGCCTCCAACACGTTCTGCACAGAGGGGGAGGGGCACGGCGTGTGATTGGTAGAGGCGTGCGCGTGGGAGAGGCGTGACATGTGGAGTGTAGGTGAAGGCATGTAGAGACGACAGGGTGGCAGCGTGATGGAGGTTGAGTTGAAAGCATGGTGGCACGTCAGCATAGAGGTGCGCGACCTAAGGAGTGAAACCTCACAGGCGGACATCATGGGTGATCTCGTCTCATGGGGGTACCTGCAGGGAGGCGGGGTGGTACCTGCAGGGAGGCGGGGTGGTACCTGCAGGGAGGCGGGGTGGTACCTGCAGGGAGGCGGGGTGGTACCTGCAGGGAGGCGGGGTGGTACCTGCAGGGAGGCGGGGTGGTACCTGCAGGGAGGCGGGGTGGTACCTGCAGGGAGGCGGGGTGGTACCTGCAGGGAGGCGGGGTGGTACCTGCAGGGAGGCGGGGTGGTACCTGCAGGGAGGCGGGGTGGTACCTGCAGGGAGGCGGGGTGGTACCTGCAGGGAGGCGGGGTGGTACCTGCAGGGAGGCGGGGTGGTACCTGCAGGGAGGCGGGGTGGTACCCTGCAGGGAGGCGGGGCCCGAGGCGGAGAGGTTGGAGTGCAGCGCCTTGATGTGCGCGTCGGGCGGCGAGGTGAGCTCCGAGAGCTGCTGGGCGACGCCGTCTCGCAGCAGCAGCAGGGCTGCGTGGCTGAGGGGGTTGCTGTCGAAGAAGTCGAGGATGAATGCCTCGCTGCCCCGCGCCATGGCTGCCATGCGCGATGGCTTCATGTCCCCCTCACTCGCCGCCTGCCTGCCATGCAGGGAGGTGAGGTGAGGTGCCATGCCATGCCATGCCATGCCATGCCAATCCATGTCATTCCATGCCATGCCATGCCAAGCCATGCCATGCCATGCCATGCCATGCCATGCCATGCCATGCCATGCCATGCCATGTATTTCTATGCCATAGCGCAACGGTGCGGGGCGGCACATGGGCATGGAGATCGGAGACATTGAGCCATGGCATGTGACGACATGAAAGCAAGGCAGCCTATCCCATGCACGACATGCCATGAGCGACATCCCATGCACGACATGCCATGGCATGGCTCCAGTGCAGTGCCACATCACAATCCGTCCCACCTCCACCCACCCGGGAGAAGTCAAGCGCAAGTTATGAAAGTAAGGCCACCTATCCCATGAGCGACATGACATGGCACGGCAGCAGTCATCACATCACAACCCGTGTCACCTCCAGCAGCCCAAGAGAGGCCCACCCACCCGGGAGAAGTCGAGGGCGAGCACGAGGTAGCGGATGATGCCTCGCCGCACCCGCTGCACCCCCACCCGCCCCGCCTGCCCCGCTTGCTGCCGCCGCCGCCTCTCCCTCTCGCTGCGTTGCTGCCCCGCCACGTCCACTGGCCGCAGCCGCCCACTCTCGTCCTCCTGGGCGCACCGGGGAAGAGGCGCAGAGGGGGTGTTGAGGGGAGAGGGAGGGAGGGGGTGGGGGGGTAAAAGGGAATAGGGATAGGAAAGCTGAGGTGGAAAAAAAGGAGAGGGATTAAGGGGAAGGGTTTGGAAAGGACATGAAAAGGGGTTAAGTGCCAGGAGTGGTGGAGTGCTGGGAATGCAAACCCGAAGTTGAAGCGGGATTGCAAGGGAAGTGAGCGCAAGGGGAAGTGAGTGTGCAAGATTACCGACTCCCAGGAGCGGTCTGACCTGCAGGGACTCCCAGGAGCGGTCTGACCTGCAGGGACTCCCAGGAGCGGTCTGACCTGCAGGGACTCCCAGGAGCGGTCTGACCTGCAGGGACTCCCAGGAGCGGTCTGACCTGCAGGGACTCCCAGGAGCGGTCTGACCTGCAGGGACTCCCAGGAGCGGTCTGACCTGCAGGGACTCCCAGGAGCGGTCTGACCTGCAGAGACTCCCAGGAGCGGTCTGACCTGCAGGGACTCCCAGGAGCGGTCTGACCTGCAGGGACTCCCAGGAGCGGTCTGACCTGCAGGGACTCCCAGGAGCGGTCTGACCTGCAGGGACTCCCAGGAGCGGTCTGACCTGCAGGGACTCCCAGGAGCGGTCTGACCTGCAGGGACTCCCAGGAGCGGTCTGACCTGCAGGGACTCCCAGGAGCGGTCTGACCTGCAGGGACTCCCAGGAGCGGTCTGACCTGCAGGGACTCCCAGGAGCGGTCTGACCTGCAGGGACTCCCAGGAGCGGTCTGACCTGCAGGGACTCCCAGGAGCGGTCTGACCTGCAGGGACTCCCAGGAGCGGTCTGACCTGCAGGGACTCCCAGGAGCGGTCTGACCTGCAGGGACTCCCAGGAGCGGTCTGACCTCCAGGGACTCCCAGGAGCGGTCTGACCTGCAGGGACTCCCAGGAGCGGTCTGACCTGCAGGGACTCCCAGGAGCGGTCTGACCTGCAGGGACTCCCAGGAGCGGTCTGACCTGCAGGGACTCCCAGGAGCGGTCTGACCTGCAGGGACTCCCAGGAGCGGTCTGACCTGCAGGGACTCCCAGGAGCGGTCTGACCTGCAGGGACTCCCAGGAGCGGTCTGACCTGCAGGGACTCCCAGGAGCGGTCTGACCTGCAGGGACTCCCAGGAGCGGTCTGACCTGCAGGGACTCCCAGGAGCGGTCTGACCTGCAGGGACTCCCAGGAGCGGTCTGACCTGCAGGGACTCCCAGGAGCGGTCTGACCTGCAGGGACTCCCAGGAGCGGTCTGACCTGCAGGGACTCCCAGGAGCGGTCTGACCTGCAGGGACTCCCAGGAGCGGTCTGACCTGCAGGGACTCCCAGGAGCGGTCTGACCTGCAGGGACTCCCAGGAGCGGTCTGACCTGCAGGGACTCCCAGGAGCGGTCTGACCTGCAGGGACTCCCAGGAGCGGTCTGACCTGCAGGGACTCCCAGGAGCGGTCTGACCTGCAGGGACTCCCAGGAGCGGTCTGACCTGCAGGGACTCCCAGGAGCGGTCTGACCTGCAGGGACTCCCAGGAGCGGTCTGACCTGCAGGGACTCCCAGGAGCGGTCTGACCTGCAGGGACTCCCAGGAGCGGTCTGACCTGCAGGGACTCCCAGGAGCGGTCTGACCTGCAGGGACTCCCAGGAGCGGTCTGACCTGCAGGGACTCCCAGGAGCGGTCTGACCTGCAGGGACTCCCAGGAGCGGTCTGACCTGCAGGGACTCCCAGGAGCGGTCTGACCTGCAGGGACTCCCAGGAGCGGTCTGACCTGCAGGGACTCCCAGGAGCGGTCTGACCTGCAGGGACTCCCAGGAGCGGTCTGACCTGCAGGGACTCCCAGGAGCGGTCTGACCTGCAGGGACTCCCAGGAGCGGTCTGACCTGCAGGGACTCCCAGGAGCGGTCTGACCTGCAGGGACTCCCAGGAGCGGTCTGACCTGCAGGGACTCCCAGGAGCGGTCTGACCTGCAGGGACTCCCAGGAGCGGTCTGACCTGCAGGGACTCCCAGGAGCGGTCTGACCTGCAGGGACTCCCAGGAGCGGTCTGACCTGCAGGGACTCCCAGGAGCGGTCTGACCTGCAGGGACTCCCAGCAACGCTCTCACCTGCAGGGACTCCCAGCAACGCTCTCACCTGCAGGGACTCCCAGCAACGCTCTCACCTGCAGGGACTCCCAGCAACGCTCTCACCTGCAGGGACTCCCAGCAGCGGTCTGACCTGCAGGGACTCCCAGCAACGCTCTCACCTGCAGGGACTCCCAGCAACGCTCTCACCTGCAGGGACTCCCAGCAACGCTCTCACCTGCAGGGACTCCCAGCAACGCTCTCACCTGCAGGGACTCCCAGCAACGCTCTCACCTGCAGGGACTCCCAGCAACGCTCTCACCTGCAGGGACTCCCAGCAACGCTCTCACCTGCAGGGACTCCCAGCAACGCTCTCACCTGCAGGGACTCCCAGCAACGCTCTCACCTGCAGGGACTCCCAGCAACGCTCTCACCTGCAGGGACTCCCAGCAACGCTCTCACCTGCAGGGACTCCCAGCAACGCTCTCACCTGCAGGGACTCCCAGCAACGCTCTCACCTGCAGGGACTCCCAGCAACGCTCTCACCTGCAGGGACTCCCAGCAACGCTCTCACCTGCAGGGACTCCCAGCAACGCTCTCACCTGCAGGGACTCCCAGCAACGCTCTCACCTGCAGGGACTCCCAGCAACGCTCTCACCTGCAGGGACTCCCAGCAACGCTCTCACCTGCAGGGACTCCCAGCAACGCTCTCACCTGCAGGGACTCCCAGCAACGCTCTCACCTGCAGGGACTCCCAGCAACGCTCTCACCTGCAGGGACTCCCAGCAACGCTCTCACCTGCAGGGACTCCCAGCAACGCTCTCACCTGCAGGGACTCCCAGCAACGCTCTCACCTGCAGGGACTCCCAGCAACGCTCTCACCTGCAGGGACTCCCAGCAACGCTCTCACCTGCAGGGACTCCCAGCAACGCTCTCACCTGCAGGGACTCCCAGCAACGCTCTCACCTGCAGGGACTCCCAGCAACGCTCTCACCTGCAGGGACTCCCAGGAGCGGTCTGACCTGCAGGGACTCCCAGGAGCGGTCTGACCTGCAGGGACTCCCAGGAGCGGTCTGACCTGCAGGGACTCCCAGGAGCGGTCTGACCTGCAGGGACTCCCAGGAGCGGTCTGACCTGCAGGGACTCCCAGGAGCGGTCTGACCTGCAGGGACTCCCAGGAGCGGTCTGACCTGCAGGGACTCCCAGGAGCGGTCTGACCTGCAGGGACTCCCAGGAGCGGTCTGACCTGCAGGGACTCCCAGGAGCGGTCTGACCTGCAGGGACTCCCAGGAGCGGTCGTTGGCGTAGGAGCGCTCCCACGCCTCCTGCTCGCGCATGGCGTCCTCCGCCGCCACCTCCTCCTCCTCCTCCTCCACGTTGTACGCCACGTCCACCCGCCGCGCCTCCCCCCGCTTCATCGCGCCTGCAGCAAGCTTGCATTGGAAAACAGTAGGTTGTGAATATGGGCGTGCGTGCATACACTGCTGATTCGGGATACTTGAAGGTTGGGTTTCGCGATGATCGGGGAAGGGAAGGGAAGGGCAGCGGGAAGAGAAGGAAAAAGGGAAGGGTAGGGTAGGAAGAGAAACAAAAGGCGGGAAGGGAAGGGCAGAAAGGGAAGTGCGGAAGGGCATGGATGGAGAGGCATGGAGAGGCATAGAGCGGACTGACTCACCCCGTAAGGGAAGCCTCACCCGCACTCACAGAGGTGGAGGGGCGCTGGCTATAAGGCCACGACACTGGCGGGTCGGGTCGGGGAGAGACGTGCACGGAATGGGCGAGAAGGGGAGGGGAAGGGAGGGGAGGGGAGGGGAGGGGAGGGGAGGGGAGGGGAGGGGAGCGGAGGAAAGGGGACGGAATGGGAGGAAATGGGAGGGAAGGAGAAGGAATGGGAGGGAAAGGGAGGGAAAGGGAAAGGAATGGGAGAGTGATCATGGCAATTCGCCTGTCGTGCGGCCGGCGCCGCTATTGCGTTCGCGAGTGTGTGAGAGCGTGGGGCCGAGTGTGAGCGCGCGGGAGAGGCGAGAGTGATAGGGTGGGATGGTTGTGTGATGAGCGGCGGGCACGTTCGTGCAGACCACGCGACAAACCCACCCCGATGAGACGCGCCTCCGTCGCTCGTGCAAAAGGGACGTCGCTGCGCGTGTGAGATGGGGTGACGCCGCGATGGGGTGGCGAGGCGGGAGTGAGAGGTGGCGGCCCGCGATTGGAAGCGAGTGGTCACGGGTGATTTAAGGTCAAGCGATTGTGAGACAGTGGTGCACGGAGGCGTGAATGCGGGAGGGGCGAGAGGAGAGGGCAGGCGAGGCGTTGGTGAATGAGCGTTATCACAGTACGTCTGCGTCGAGAAAGGGAGTTATACGCCCACTTGCTGAGTTGCGACCTGCTTAGCTACGGATTATGCTGTAATTGGCGCGTGGGGTGGCGTATCTTCTCGCAGAGGAAGTGTGGCTGTAATGAATCACAATTCCACAATTCCTTACTATAGAGGCTGCTCCTAGCGAGGACAGCAGGAACACTTCGATCCGAACCACATTTCCGAATCGCCCCGCACCAACCGCGACAAACCGCTCTTGGTCTAGCAGCCTACTTGCCTTCTATTCCAGGGGTGTGACACCAGAGGGACCGCATTCAGGGCAGTTAGACTTAGACTCTTGTAGTGTTGCAGCGCAAGTGTTGACCTCAGGTGAGAGTTAAAGTAAATGACATAGATAATAAAAAGATGAATATATCTAGTTTATATAGAAAATACAAAGAAATGCGAAACGACCTAGACTAGCCATGTACTCTAAGGGGTACATTCCCTTACCACAGTGAAATTCAACTCGTGCGGTGCGGAAACCCGTTTCAAACCTGTTCCCGTCCTTTTCACTTCAAATGTTTCTGCCTGCAGCGGTATTAAAGCCGGCGGCCCAAATTATTCATGCTTTTAAAAGATGACCTGAGGGAGTTTTCCAGGTGTAAGCTTTGGCGAGAGTTACAAATTTCGTCTAGGTTCGTTTTTTTCGCGAGTCCCAGCCAACCCTCGTTTTTCCCCCTGGTGAGTGACTCTGTCTTCGAAAGTCCCAAATTGCAGGTGCGTGACTTTCAAAAGCTTGGACACTCAACTTGGTCAAGTTTTAAAAACTTGACCCTCGCGGTCCGCAATTTGGGACGCGGGCTTTAATCTGACGGTCGCTAGTGTCGCTTCTGTTGGAAACAATGAATCATAAGCGCCTCTGTCGTGTCGAAACACCGCACTTGAAGCGAGGCGAATCATACCGAAGCACCCGCGAGTCAACCCTCGGAGGTTGAAAGGTTGCTGGAGGTTACGCGAAAGTCAAAGGTCAAGCAACCTTTGACCTGACAAGTACAGCGCGACAGTTAAGGACACACAACTGACTCGCTACAGAGCAGTTGCCCGAGTCGTACTGTATCGAACCGCAACAGCAACAGTAAATGGAAGTTACAACCGTATCTCTTCATATTCCTTGTATTATTATATATTCTTGTATCCCTTTGCTATAATCAATCTACTTTGCCCTCACATACCTATTAACAGAACTAGGCAAGAATGATTGAAAGGAGAGAGGTTTCACTAGCAGCAGTTGGGGTACATATAGCAAACCCTAACTGGGTTGTACTCGCTATAGAGCACCCCACTACAGGCTAGACAATAATAACATTCTGACACACCCCCATAGCCAAAGTGGGGTGTAATCAGTACAATGAGCAGGCATAGCAATAGTTCACAATTATAAGCAAAGCTAGAGGTGATCATAGAGGGCAAGTGAGGAGGAGGAGAAACTGTGAGGGCGAGAAGATGAAAGGCGCCGACTGAAGCTGCAGACACACGGGCAACAGGAGCGGCGCGCACAGTGGCTACCGAGCGCACGAGGGCACCGGACTACGGGAGTATCTGGCTCCGCGGCTACGACGAGCACACACAGGAGCAACGGACCCACAGGCGACTGGCGAAGCAGGCTCGCTGGGCTACCGAAACGCGCGAGGGCATCCGGACTACTGGCGCTGCTGGCGTCACGACGGCTACCTCCACGCAACCTCCCCCGACCGTCCCACGCCCCTCTCACACACCCCCTGCTGACACCCTAGCTCCACTTCCACGGCACCCCCCTTAAACCCTAAACCCTCGGCTCCCACACACCCACCCCCCTCAGCGGCAGCTGCAGCAGTGGGAGACGGAGGAGGAGGAGGAACAGGGAACGGCACTCAGTGGCTTCACCCCCATACCCCTCACCCCCAAACCCTAATTCAGGAGAACGGGCTGTAGGAGGGGTGGGGCGCCAGTAGAAGCACGGGGGACAGTGGGGAGGGCAGGGGCAGCGAGGAACGGGCCGCCCACGGGCCTGGCATAGCCGCCCGAACCGCGCGCAGGCGGCCCGAGCCGCGCGCGGGCCTGGCGCTTCCCGTACGGGCCGCGCGCGGGCCTGGCGCAGCCCGTACGGGCCGCGCGCAGGCCTGGCGCAGCCCGTACGGGCCGCACGCCGGCTGTACGGGCCGCGCGCAGGCCACGACGGGCGACGGGGGGCGACGCGTGGGACCCCGTCGCCCGTCGCAGCGCCTCCCGGGGGCGACGCGCCGAGTGACGGGGCAGAAACCCGCCGCGCGCCTCGGGGCGCACGGCGGGCAGAGAACCGCCGCGCGCCTCGGGGCGCACGGCGGGCAGAAAACCGCCGCGCGCCTCGGGGCGCACGGCGGGCTGAAAACCCTAAGTTGACGCCGCGCACCACGGGGCGCGCGGCGGACAGGGAGTAGCAGTAGCAGCGGAAGCAGTTAGGTGGCGGGCCCACCCACAGGATCGACCCAAGGGGGTCGACCTGCTCTGATAGCATATTAACAGAACTAGGCAAGAATGATTGAAAGGAGAGAGGTTTCACTAGCAGCAGTTGGGGTACATATAGCAAACCCTAACTGGGTTGTACTCGCTATAGAGCACCCCACTACAGGCTAGACAATAATAACATTCTGACAATACCAGCGGAAGGTGGTTCACAATTCTTCATTAAGCTTCCGCTATTACAACATCATCCTACCCAGAGTTCTTCCCTGAAAAGATCCTAAGGGGCTATCTCAGCCCAACATGGTATGAGAGCTAACAGGGGAAACTCCACTACTATCAAGTCATTACAAGACATGGCAACAAACAAGGAAAGGAGCTCCTCCAACGGCTCCCCGGGCACTACTCCTACTCCACCTCCTGCCTCTGGCCTGCAGACAGAGGAGGGCACTGCAACAAGACCTAGAGGAACATCTACTGAAACTCCCGAAAAACACCCCGCCAGCTTCGACCAGAACATGATGGAGAAGTTCTTCTCCTTCATGTCCTTCTACGAGCAGCACCAGCAGTCGGGACCTGCACAGTCATACAACAGCAACAACAACAACAGGGCAACACCCATGAGCCTTGACGGGTCGTCATATGCGCGCGGAAACCAACAGCAGCAACCTACCTTCGCCCCGTACGAGCGCGGGTCGATCAGCTTCATGCCGCAGCCTTCACCTGGACAAGATAAACCACTGGACGCGTTACAAGTGCAATCACAGTTCGCGCACGTTCTGAAGCTGCAGACATCAAGGCCCTTCGACGGAAAGGACTTCTTCACCTGGTCATTCGAGTTCGAGTTAATGATGGAAGGCGCGCAGATACTCGGCTTCTTCGACGGGTCCCTGCAATATCCAGCAAACGGCACACAGTATGAGAAGCAGCAGTATACGTATCAATCGATGATGGCGTATACGATTCTGCTGAGGAACGTCACACCAACTCAGCAGCAAAACATACGCTCTTACCGGGGTTACGGCAACTCCGCTGAGCTCGCGTACAGCCACCTGAAGAGCCTGTACCAAGCAACAGACAGTGTAAACCAGAGCAGGTTAATGGCGCAATTGACAACAGTCGAAATGAAACCGGGAGAAAAGGGGATGGCGTATATCAGCCGATGTCGGGAACTGCGCGACAAGCTTCTTCGATGCGGAGGGTCAATCTCTGAAGACGCCTTCGTGACAGTCATCATTGGTGGTCTCGGTCCCCAATGGCGCGCCACCAAAGCTATCCTCCGAGCCCACGGCAGAATTTCTGAAGCAGCACTCTGCGCCGAAATCCACGCCGAGCAGCAGGACATGGACCTGCAAGAAGAACGACACAGAAAGAAGACGACAACATCAGAGTTCGCGTTTCACACTCAACGACGTCACAACAACTACAACAATCGACAGCAACAACCGAAGCCAGTACCTCCCTTCTGCCACATCTGCAAGACTTCAGGGCACCCGCGCACGCACTGCCCGAATCGACAACAGTCAACGACTCCGCAGCGACAGCTACGACCTTCAAGCAATCAAGTCGCATCAACACAGGCGAATCCAACGACCCAGCTCCAATCTTCAACAACTCCAACGGGACAACCTGCGCAAGGAGCAAGAAATATCGTCAGCTGCATGGCAAGATTGACCGACTCCTGCATCACCGAATCACCACCATACTACTCACCAGAAGAACAGCTCGACGAAGCTACACCCCGCCGCGAAGCACTTCAGCCGAATCCGACATACGCCGCCATCGCCCAAAGCGAGCCATCCGGGAAGGACACGTGGTTCTTGGACAGTTGCTGTGGCCAGCACATGTGTTCTTCAGGACGCTTCGTACAACGAGAGTACCAGCTTCAACGGGAAGTCGTCATCACCGTCGCCAATAATCAAAACCTGCGCACACGACGACAAGGAATTGTACAACTTCAGTCACGGGAGACAAACGTCATCCTGCAAATGTCCAAGGTTTTAATCGCAGAGGGCTTGGGCTACAACTTACTCAGCGTCAGTCAGTTGATGGCGAAAGGTATTCACCTTGAAGCAGACAGCACAACTCAGGAGTTCAAGCTGTACCACGGGAGAGGAGGTCTCTACATCGGGAAGGCGGTCCTCAAGAACAACGTCTTCGTTCTTGACTTCGTTCCGGACCTTGGCACCGCTGACAGTGACGCCATCGTCAACTTCACGAATTGGACACACCCTCCAGACCTTGATCCAGACTTCAGTCCGGGCGGCTTCTGGTACTCACACACCATTCCTGAAACAGAGAGAACAAGAGCGTTAGCGACGATTCAACGGTCAGCAGCAGCAGAGACAACATCGGCAGCAACAGAGACAACATCGGCAGCAGCAGAGACAACATCGGCAGCAGCAGAGACAACATCAGCAGCAGCAGAGACAACATCGGCAGCAGCAGAGACAACGACAGCAGCAGCAGGAACATCAACACCAGTCGCCGGTCCTTCGACGACACCATTCTTCATCGATGACACGCCACCAACACCCGCGCAGCAGCTTCAACCAACGCCGCGAGAAGTTCACCGCAGCGCCAACTTCACCGCCGGCTTCTACTCCAACTCCGACATGTACCGACGCTCTCAAGGACACCGCGCCACCGAAGGAACCTGGCACGCAAGAATGGGACATCCAAGCCACACCGTGTTAAACAACACAATCAGAGCAGGAGTGCTTGACAAAGATTCACTCCTACTAACCGACGGCAGAGAACTTCAGCGAGCTCGAGGAACATGCTTCACCTGCCCCGAAGCAGACTTAACGCGACAACCTTTTCCATCTCACCACAATCCAAGCGCACCAGCTTACGCACCGCTCGAGAAAGTGTACAGCGACATCTTGTACAACCGCGAACCTGGACAGAACACTTACAACTACACGATTACCTTCATCGACGCCGCGACCAGATACGTCTGGCACCTCAACCTACCCAGCCGCGACATGGCCTTCGAAGCGTTCGTCGCGTGGCTTCCTGCAGCAGAAAGAGAATCGGGCGTAAAACTGAAAAGTTTTCAGTCCGACGGGGGAGGAGAATACACCTCACAGAGGTTCAAGGACTACTTGGCAGAGAAGGGAATCAAGCGGCTCATCTCCCTTCCCTACGCCCATCAACAGCAAGGTGTAGCAGAAAGGATGAACAGGACACTTCAAGCCACCATGCGCAAGCTGCTACGTGGCATGCATCTGCCCAACCACCAGTGGCCCGAAGCAATGGACCACGCCGTCATGCTGCACAACTTGCTCTCGTCATCATCGCTCCCGAACAACGCATCACCGCACCTGCTGTGGACAGGAAAATTGGGCAGCACAAAAATGTTACGAGTTTTCGGGTGCATGGTACAGTACCGACCACCATCTGCACGCGCCGGCCGTTTCTCCCAACGAGCACAGTGGGGACTACACCTGGGCATCGAAAAACACCACAACGCATGGAAAATCTTCGACATCAACAGCAAGGAAACAGTCGCAGCACGTGATGTCATCTTCTACGAACACCTCACCCTCGACGTTCATCTCGCGTACGTCAGAGCCAACAGACCTGACCTCACGGGCGGATTCACTGGCACCCGAGCCTTTGCCACGGCAGAAGACGAAGCTGACTGGGACGAGCAGAACGTGGACGGAGCCTCGGAAGAAGCCGGACCTCTTCCCTACTGCTCAGTGGATGTACCAATGGGCGACGACAACCCTCGCGAAAGCATCAACGCCGAAGTTTACTACCATTTCGCAGACGACGGTTACGTTACACCCGCTGAAGTCAACACCAACGAAGCAGAACGCGTAGGACCCAACTTCGCACCTGATCCAGAAGCTGGAGACGAAGCAGTCTATCCCGAGGACACCACACTCCCCCGCTACACACAGAGTGGACTCCAAATCCTTGGACTCGTCACCGCAGTCCACGGCGCCGACATTCCTAAGGAGCCTGCGACAGTTCAGCAGGCTCTGGGGGGGGAGCACAGGGAAAAATGGCGCGAAGCCATGGACAGAGAGCTGAAGGCTGTCAGAGGTCCACTGGGGATCCCCGATGATCCTAGGGAAGGGTTACAGGCACGTCGGCCTGGGGGGTTATGGGCGCACTCACCCGCTATATAAACAAGCCCTTTTATCCCAGTGGTTAGTGGCTGGGATTCTGACATGGTATCAGAGCGAAGGTCTCGGGTTCGATTCCCGGTGTGTGCACTTCGGGCATCCCAGTGCGGGGGGGTGTCAGAGGTCTGTCAGAAATAACTGAGCAGGAATGAATGAACTAGAACAGAGTTTGGTACAAGTAGGAAACCCTAACTTTGTGTACCCCCTAAGGTGTAACCCACTACAGCCTAGACAATATAAACATGCAATGTTTGACACACCCCCATAGGCGCAGTGGGAGACAGCCACAGGGTCACAAGACCAGTCAAAGCAAAGCAAAACAAGCTCAGGGTGGATCTCAAGGATTCCACACAAATTCCGAGCACAAGCAAGCGGTCACAAGACCAGTTCACATGCAGGTTTATAACAAAGCAAGAGATACAGTGATCACAACCTAGCAAACGTAAACAAGTAGGCATATATATATAGTGATCACAGTACAAGCAAGGTCAAGAGGTAAGTAAGTGAGGCCCAGTAGGTACAAGGCCTAGCAGAGTGCAAAAGCGCTGATGGTCACAAGGCTGAAGCGCCTTGGTGAACACATCAGCAGTGTTGGCCTCCGTGGCCACGTAACGCAGACAAAGCTGACCACGCTGCTGCAGCTCTCGAGCCAGGAAGTACCGCAGAGCGATGTGCTTCGTTCTGTGCTCCAGTCTGTGCTCCTCACACAAGGCAATGGCAGCCTTGTTGTCGACGTACAGCACTGGAGGAGAACGAGGCTGCTCTCCGAGGTCGGTCAGCAGGTAGGTCAGCCAGCGTAGCTCCTGAGCGGCCATGGCTGTGGCGTAGATCTCAGCCTCACAACTGGAGCTGAGAACAGAAGAAGAGCGAGTAGAACGCCAAGAAACTGTGCCAGAGCCAAGGCTGAAGGTGTAACCCTGGGACGACCGCTGAGTAGCCTGGTCGTCTGCCCAAGAAGCGTCTGAGTGCCCTGTGAGAACAACCCGGTCTCGCCCTCCAAGCACAAGCCCCATGCCCGACGTACTGCACAAGTAGCGCAACACCCTCTTAGCAGCATCCATGTGCTCCTTCCGGTGACGGCCAGGAGCGACATAGCGTGCTAGGATGCTAAGAGGGTATGCAAGGTCAGGTCGAGTGCAGGTCATCAGGTACATGAGGCAGCCCACAAGCTCTGGATACGGGCCACTCGGCTCTACGGACTCATCCGAAGGCAGAGCTGAGAGCGAGTGACCGGTAGGCAGAGGAGTGGACTGAGGCGAGGAGTACGTGAAGCGGAAGCGCTGGAGAACCTGCTGCACCATGTGTGACTGAGTCAGGGTGATGGTGCGCCGTGCTCTGTCCCGGGTGATCCGCAAGCCAAGATAGCTCGTCAGCTCACCCAGGTCTGTGCACGTGTGTCTCCTCTGCAGCTCCGACTTCACGTGAGCGAGTGCCGCGGTGTCAGCAGTGGCAAAGACCAAGTCGTCGACGTACACGAGGATGTAGAACGGCGGCAGCGACGTGTCGGTGCGTAGAAACAGCGACGGGTCAGCAGTAGAGGGAGCGAACCCAAGAGCCGCAAGTGTCGTCCTCAGTGTGTCGTGCCACTCACGTGGCGCCTGGCGGAGACCGTAGACCGGCCGCTGAAGCCTCCACTGGGTGCCAGGAGGAACTGACCCAGTGAAGCCAGGGGGGCGACGCAGCCAGATCTCCTCGTGCAGACTGCCCTGCAAGAAAGCAGTGCTGAAGTCAAGAGAGTGAAGCTCGTAGTCGCGGTGAGCGGCTATGTGCAGCAGCACCCGAAGAGTAGTCATCTTCGGGGTGGGGGAGAAGGTCTGAAAGAAGTCTACTCCCTCTCGCTGACTGAAGCCTCGAGCCACGTAGCGCGCCTTGAAAACAGGCGGAGAACCCGGCGGCCGCTTCACCCTGAAAATCCACATGCCACTGACAATGTTCGCCCCAGGAGGGGGAACCTCGTCTACGTAGGTGCCTGTGGACTTCCAGGAGGCCATCTCTGCGTCCATGGCTGTCTGCCACTGAGAGGAGTAGGGACCCGCCATCGCCTCAGCGTAAGAGCGTGGGGTCGGGATGTCTGGTGCATCCGGGTCTCCCTCAGGGGCAACTAGCAAGGACACGAGACGAGGCAAAGCAGCAGCAAGGCAGTGGAACTCCTCCTGTCTGTCCTCAAGGACGTCCGTGCCGAGGGCACACTCACCCCCGACGGACGGAGGACAGGCAGACGCAGACTCAGACCTAGCGACAAGGCTGGCAGCGTAGTCTAGGCGACAGCGAGCAGCAAAGTCAACCAACTCAGCGACCAGGGCAGACGCAGCAGAGGACTCAAAGGTCGGGTCAGTGACAACTGTAGCGAGGAGACGCGTAACAGTGGGACTGGCAGCACGACGGGAGTCAGACTCCGGGTCAGGAAGAGTAGGAAGAGAGGACGCAGGAGGAGACGGCAGCGGGACACGCTGCGGAGCAGTGGAGGGACGCAGAGTCATGTAGTGAGTGCCAGGGACAGGAGGAGGACGCTCACGTGGGACACGACGACCAGTGCGAGCAGTACGAACAGGCGACGCAGGACGAGACTCAGGCTCACGACGCTCTGTAAGACCTCCTGTGGGACCAGCGTAAGGGGAGGGAGCAGGGAGAGGCGAGACAGGCGGTAACTGTGACTGCGGCTGGACAGGCGGAGGACACGCTACGGAGGGAGGAGGACTAAGAGGAGGAGCCTGACCAAGAACCTGCTGAAGGAGCGGTACGAAGTACGGTCGCGGCCGCGCAGCGTCTCCAGAAACAGCAGGGACACCAGTGGCAGCCCCAACGCCCGAGTCCTCAGCACCAGCAGCAGCTCCAACGCCCGGGTCCTCAGCACCAGCAGCAGCACCACCGGTCGGGTCCTCAGCACCAGCAGCAGCTCCAACGCCCGGGTCCTCAGCACCAGCAGCAGGGCCACTGGTCAGGTCCTCAGCACCAGCAGCAGCGCCACCGGTCGGGTCCTCAACACCAGCAGCAGCTCCAACGCCCGGGTCCTCAGCACCAGCAGCAGCTCCAGCCCCCGGGTCCTCAGCACCAGCAGCAGCTCCAGCGTCCGGGTCCTCAGCACCAGCAACAGCACCACCGCTCGGGTCCGCAGCACCAGGAGCACCACTACGAAGACTGCAGCGCCGCGTGTACCACTCGTGGATCACCTGAATGGGGGGGAGCTCCTGGGTAGGAGGGGAAGTACCGGGACGAGCTCCAGAAGCACCTCTCCGGAGGCGGCAGTACTCGAGGTACCTCTCCTGCAGCTGCTGGGAGGAGAGGGCTCCTCCAGGTGGAGTACCCCCAGACTCAGCACCCCCAGACTCAGCACCCCCAGACTCAGCACCCCCAGACTCAGCACGTCCAGACTCAGCACCCCCAGACTCCGCACCTCCAGGCTCCGCACCTCCAGGCTCAGCACCCCCAGGCTCCGCACCTCCAGGCTCAGCACCTCCAGGCTCCGCGCCTCCAGGCTCAGCACCCCCAGGCTCCGCACCTCCAGGCTCAGCACCCCCAGACGCAGGACGCGAGTCAACAGCTACCTCGACAGGCTCACCCGGGTCTACCTGGGACACACCTGAGGGAGCGGCACCCTGAGGGGGGAGGGGGTCTGGTACCTCAGCACCTGGAGCGAGGAAGAGAGGCGGGGGGGGGAGTGGGGCAGTGCGGTAGGGGAAGAGGCGGTAGAAGGGGACGGACTCGTCAAAAGTGACGTCCTGAGAGGCCAGAACCCGGCGCGAGGTGACGTGGTAAAACTGCCATCCAGGCGCGTCGGGAACAAAGCCAAGAAAGACACAGGGAACAGTGCGACGTGAGAGCTTGTCCGCAGACGTGTCGCGGACAAAGGCTCGAGATCCCCAGACCCGGAAACGCGACGCATCGCCAACCTCTCCCGTCCACCGTAGAGTCGGGGAAGTCTCCGGCAAGGAGACACGGGGCCAGAGGTTGAGCTGATGTGCTGCGTACCGGACCGCAAACGGCCACAGAAAGTGGGGAGCAGCCGCATGGGTCAGGGAGGTACGAGCGACCTCCATGACTAAGCCAATGCGGCGCTCAGCAACCCCATTCTGCTGTGGAGAGGCCGGAAGCGTGTACGACTGCTCAATGCCGTGCTCAGCACAGTAGGCTGCCAAGAGGTCGGAGGCGAACTCACCACCCCTGTCAGAGTGCAAGCGCAGGACAGGAAAGTCCGAGTGAAAGCGCTCGCCTAGCTGGAGACGGGCTCGGCTGATCCAGGGGATCAAAACACCAGGGACGTCACCCTTGGCGCGCAAGGGGAAGACCGTGGTGTAGCGCGAGTAGTCGTCAACAACTATCAGGAAGTACCTCTCCTGACCCTGACCACGGACGCGGGCTGGGCCCCACACGTCCATGTGGAGCGTCTGCAGGGGAGCGGTCGTCGGGGGAAAGGAGGAGGAGTGAGGAGCGGCGCGCTGCCGCCCCTCGACACAGGGAATGCAGTCAGGAGCAGGGGAGTCAGGAAGGGGAGGGAGCACCCTGGGAAGACCAGCAACAAGGTCCCGTTTGTGCATGGCCCGCAGGCGCTGCACAGACGGGTGACCAAGGCGGTGGTGCCAGAGGACGGTGTCGTTCGCCAGAGAGCGACACGAGCAGGGGGCGGACAGCTGACCTGACGCTGACGCAGACGCAGCTACCTGAGGGGACTCAGTGGTCAGTGTGTACAGGTCAGACCCCGGCTCTCGAGTGAAAGTAGCCAGGTGGCGGCCCGTCCGAGCACACGTGCAGTGAGTCACACGCTCGTAGGCAGGGGTGAACTGGTGAACACCCGAGTCCTGGAGCGCACTACCTGCCACCAAGTTCGTGGAGAACGAGGGGAGGTAGAGACCTGAGAGTGTGCCGGACGGAACCGCTGGACACGGAAGGGTGGTGGAGGAGGTCGCAAGGACCGGACCCCCAGAGGGGTCAGCAAGAGAGACAGCAACCGGCCGAGCTAGAGGCTCAAGGACAGTGCGGTCACGAAAGAAAGAGCGAGAAGCACCTGAGTCCAGTGTGAAGGTGTGCAGTGCTGCAGTCGACTCAGTACCAGGGGGCACAGACGCACAAGCACCTAGAGTAGCAGCTGCAGTAGTACCTGTGGAAGCAGACACACTAGCACCTAGAGCAGCAGCGGGGCTGGCCTGAATGCCCGGGTCGGGCGGAACACGCAAGTACTGAGCACCCTCTCCACTAATAGACATCGCATACATGGCAGTGAGAATAGCATCAAAGTCAAGTGCCCAAATATCAACACCCTTCCTGAGCAGATCAGCCCAGCGCGGCAGCTCACCCCCACCAGGAAACTGGGTGCGCCACGCATCGTTGAGGCGGGCGAAGCAGCGCTCCGTCTGGTGCGGCCCCCCACACATCTGGCCAGTGCGGTCACCTGTACGAATAACGTACTGGCAGGTGACGCTGCGCCGCGCATACCACTCACGGGCGGCCTGAAGGGTCGGGGAAGGCTGCTGACTCTGACCGCCCCCCGGGCCTCCACGACCACCACCCCCTCCGCCTCCGCCCCGGCCACCTCCACCCCTGCCGCTGCCACGACCACCTCCGCCTCCGCTGCCACCTCCGCCCCTGTCACCACTCCCAACACCGCTGTCACCTCCACCACTGCCGCCACTAGTCTCTCCAGTCGCACCTCCACCGCCACCACCTCCACCCCCGCCTCCTCCGCCACCACCCCCACTCCTGCCACTCCTGCCCCTGCGTCGTCCGCCTGAAGCAGACGCAGCCCCGACCTTCTCAGCACCAAGGAGGTCGACAGCAGCAGCAGAGGCGACAGAGGGGAGGAGGGGGGAAGGGGAGCACCCCTCGAAGAAGGGGCCGCGGGGGTCGCCACGAGAGGTGCCTACAGCGACGATACTAGCCTCGGCTGCAAGCAGTTCCTTCTCGAGGAGGGCTATGGTGAGCTCAGTGGGGGAGCGAGAGAGGAACTGGTCCCTGACAGGGCGCAGAGAGTCAGGGAGGCGGGTGACAACGTGGTAGAGAGTGATCCAGAGCGGGGGGGGGTTGCTAGCGAGAAACTCATCAGGCATGGCAGCGCGAAAGCGAGCCTCACTAGTCTTAAGGTGGGTGATGAGGTCTGCGACAGTGTGAAAGGAGGCTAGGTCGGGGAACAGGTAGGGGAGAGTGAGGCGGCCTAGTGTGGCAGAAGCGGGTGAGGAGTAGCGGGCCACTACAGCTGTGTAGAGGTCCTTAGCAGTCTTGCACTGGCCGAAGTGCTCGCGCTCATCTAGCGGCAGGGAGTTGCGAATAGCAAAGCGAGCGTGCGCGTCACGGGTCTGCCACTGTGAGCGCTCAGCTGGGGGGGCAGTAGCGAGTGGGGCGGTCGCATGGCCGAGAGCGTGGTCGTACAGTGTAATATCTTCCTTGGCAGTGAGCTGTAGGAAAAGGTGCAGGTCATCTAGCCAGGTTTCGAATTTGACCGGACGGCCCTCGGCGTCGAAAGCTAGAACAGGAGGACTAGCCATAGCGACAGCGGCAGTAGTAGAAGCAGTAAAGTCACTGAAAAGGCGTGCGCAGGGTCAGCGGGGCCGGTGGGGCCTACGGACTGTAGTGGCGCACAAGCAGTAGTAGCAGAAAGTGTAGTAGTAGGAATGCAGTGGTGCACAGGCGCAGCAGGCGGCAGCGAGAGCCGGCGTAGTAGGGGCGGGCTCAGCAGCGGTGATTCGCGGGCGACGGCGGGCGCAGCAGCGGCGGTGCGCGGGCGGCGGCGGGCTCAGCAGCGGTGGTGCGCGGGCGGCAGCGGGCGCAGCAGCGGCGGTGCGCGGGCGGCGGCGGGCTCAGCAGAGGCGGTGCGCGGGCGGCTGCGGGCTCAGCAGCGGTGGTGCGCGGGCGGCAGCGGGCGCAGCAGCGGCGGTGCGCGGGCGGCTGCGGGCTCAGCAGAGGCGGTGCGCGGGCGGCTGCGGGCTCGGCAGCGGCGGGCCGGGAGCAGTGCGGGCAGCGTGCGGGCCGGCGGCGGTCAGCGCACGAGCCGCGCAGGCTCAGCGCGGGCTGCGCGGGCTGCTCGCGGGCTGCGTAAGCGGGTCGCGGGCGGCTCGCGGGGGTTCGCGGGCAGGTCGCGGGCTGCTCGCACGCAGTTCGCGGGCTGTGCGCGGGCTGCGCGGGCTGGTCGCGGGCTGCGCAGGCGGTTCGCGGGCTGTGCGTGGGCGGTTCGCGGGCTGTGAGCGCGGCGCGCTGTGCGGTTCGCGGGCGGCGTGACGGGGCCGATCGGGGCGCTAAGGGGCGACGCGACGGGGGCCGTGAGAGGCCGCTAAAAAAAAATTCGAAGGGGCCGCAGGGCCGCTAGATCGTGCTAGATCGACGGGGCCATCGGGGCCGAAAAGAAGCGAAGGTAAGCAGGTAGGTAAGTCGGTGGGCCCTAAGAACAGTCCTAGCGAAGGACCTGCTCTGAAACCATGTCAGAAATAACTGAGCAGGAATGAATGAACTAGAACAGAGTTTGGTACAAGTAGGAAACCCTAACTTTGTGTACCCCCTAAGGTGTAACCCACTACAGCCTAGACAATATAAACATGCAATGTTTGACAAGGTCCACTGGGGATCCCCGATGATCCTAGGGAAGGGTTACAGGCACGTCGGCCTGGGGGGTTATGGGCGCACTCACCCGCTATATAAACAAGCCCTTTTATCCCAGTGGTTAGTGGCTGGGATTCTGACAAAGGCGTTAGAAGAACGCAACACCTGGAAGGTCGTCCCTATCGGCGTAGCACGAAACAAGACCATTCTTACCGGGAAATGGGTCTTCCGTGTGAAGACGAAAGCAGACGGCACCATCGACAAGTTCAAGGCACGATGGGTCGTGCGCGGCTTCGACCAGGAGCACGGACGTGACTTCACCGAAACCTTCGCTCCGGTCAGCCGCCACACTTCACTGCGAATTCTCCTCGCGATCGCCGCCATGAAGAAGAAGAAGCTGCGACAAATCGACGTCGCAAATGCTTTTCTCTACGCACCTGTTGACGCAGAAATTTTTGTGGAGCTACCACACGGCTCCAACACAGACTCCACGCATGTCTGCCAGCTGCTAAAATCACTCTACGGGATCAAACAGGCCCCGCGACTATGGCAACAGTACCTACACGCTCGCCTCATCCGCATCGGCTTCAAGCAACTCCCGCACGACCAAGGCATGTATCGACTCACGAAGAACGACGACTACGTGGACGACCTCCTCTACATCGGGTCAAACGACGGTATCACTACCTGGTTCGAAGGGGAGCTGCAGCAAGATCTCACGCTCACAGTCTCGGCTACCGTCACTCAGTACCTCGGCCTCAACATTCGAGAAGAAGAAGACGCGATCTACCTCAGCGCCGAGAAGTACGCCGACACCATCGCCAAACGCTTCGGTCTCACGCCGGCCGCGATCTCAACGCCATACCGCTACACGACAAAAGCCGACAAGGGAAGATCCACTTTACTCAAGCCCGCCGACATACGCGACTACCAGAGGAAGCTAGGATGCCTCCTCTTCGCAGCCGTCACCTGCCGTCCCGACCTCTCATACTCCGCAAGTCAGCTCGCCACCTACCTCAAGAAACCTGAAGCAGAACATCTGGCGGAGCTCGACCACGCTCTTCACTACTTCATCAGCACCCCGACGATCGGCCTAACCTACCACAAGAACGCGACTACGCCAACCAAGCTAATCGGCTACGTCGACGCCGATCACGCTGGCGACTCCGACAACAGACGCTCACGCACCGGCTACATCTACCGCCTCGAACCTATCGGTCCTATCTCCTGGCAGTCGAGCAAGCAGGAATTAATCGCGTTATCATCAGCTGAAGCAGAATATATCGCACTCTGCTCAGCCACCAAAGAAGGCCTTTATCTTCGCGAGCTACTGGAAGAAGCAAAGTTGGCTGAGTTACCCAGCTTCACCCTGTTCTGCGACAATCAATCAGCAATTCGCATCGCCAACAAAAACGGCTTCGCGAACAGGACGAAACACATCGCCCTGCGCTACTTCTTCGTGAAAGACGAGATCGAGAAGGGGAGACTTCAGCTGTCATACTGCCCCACGTCCGAGATGGCAGCTGACTATTTGACCAAGAAGCTCGGAAAGCAGAAGTTCGAATACTGCATATTGCTGACTGGACAGAGCCACGTCATCAGCAGCGACACTCCAGAAGCGAAGGGGAGTGTTGGAAACAATGAATCATAAGCGCCTCTGTCGTGTCGAAACACCGCACTTGAAGCGAGGCGAATCATACCGAAGCACCCGCGAGTCAACCCTCGGAGGTTGAAAGGTTGCTGGAGGTTACGCGAAAGTCAAAGGTCAAGCAACCTTTGACCTGACAAGTACAGCGCGACAGTTAAGGACACACAACTGACTCGCTACAGAGCAGTTGCCCGAGTCGTACTGTATCGAACCGCAACAGCAACAGTAAAAGGAAGTTACAACCGTATCTCTTCATATTCCTTGTATTATTATATATTCTTGTATCCCTTTGCTATAATCAATCTACTTTGCCCTCACATACCAGCGCAAGGTGGTTCACAATCCTTCATTAAGCTTCCGCTATTACAACATCATCCTACCCAGAGTTCTTCCCTGAAAAGATCCTAAGGGGCTATCTCAGCCCAACAGCTTCGACTTTTCTGACTCCTCGACTTCGTACTCGGTAGAGTCAGCTCCTGCAGCATACAGGAATGCCTTCTCATTAAATTGCATATCGTAAGAATTTCTTCATTCTGGAATCACATCCTTTTTATAAAGACTTCCGTGCACTCAGTTTAGTACAACTCATAACACTTAATATGAGAGCTATTTTTCTAGCTCACCTCGCATTTTAGAGTGTAATACCCCTTAAGGTGGGTGGGGGGGGGACAGGGAAGGATGGCGTGGGGTGCACGAGCTGCGCGCTAGCCGGCAAGGAGGACGAATAGTTGCTCCTAGCGGCCATGAATTTTACAGACGCTCCTTCGGCACCGACGGATCCTTGCCCTCGACGGTCGAGATTGAACGTGGCCTCCCTCCCCCCCCCCGGGTGGAGGACAGAAATGGCTGTCGTCGCATTAAATGCGTGAGTATATTGCGTGCGTTTTTGTCAGCTTCGAAGTTAATTTGTGTGACAGCTCACGTCGACAGGATCGCCGTCAGTGCACGTCTCAAGTTGTCGGAGGCGAACGTGGTGCGAGTTGGCGTCTATGCGGAGAGTCACTGCCAGCGTTGCAGTCGCAAGTTGTTTATCTGCGCAGATGTGCGCACCTACCAAGTAGGTACATGTTGACGGTTTCACCGTCAGGCACATTGCGCAGGTGCCAGGTAGAAAACGTGTCGTCGGTTTCGCCAGGTGCTAACCGTTTCGCCACGTGCGGCTGTTCCGCAGGTCGAACTTTGCCAGAAACTCCTGGGCGAAGTTTCGCACGCCTCTGCATATTTTCGCACACCTCTACGAATTCGGTCGAACAGCTCTACGCTGCTCGGTTGAACAGCGTCCGCCCAGCAGAGCTTCTCGACCAGAACTTTTCAACTAGAGTACTTTGATCAGCGCTCTTCGACGGTCGACTAGTACTAACCGCCGAGCACGTGCGGCTGTTCCGCAGGTCGAACTTTGCCAGAAACTCCTGGGCGAAGTTTCGCACGCCTCTGCATATTTTTGCACACCTCTACGAATTCGGTCGAACAGCTCTACGCTGCTCGGTCGAACAGCGTCCGCCCAGCAGAGCTTCTCGACCAGAACTTTTCAACTAGAGTACTTTGATCAGCGCTCTTCGACGGTCGACTAGTACTTCTCGACGGGCTTCATTGATCGTTGTCTTCGACCATCACTGCACGTAGACGATGTCTACCAGATTCTGTCGAGCAGAGCCCACGCGACCGCAATTTCTGTCGAACTGCAGAAGCCCATTTCTTCGACCAATCTGTCGAAAACTTCCCATCAACGGTGAGATCGGTTGCGCCCCAGCGAGGGCGGGGCCTTTCTCTTCGACACTCCTCCGCCCAGCTCACGACTTACACACCCACACACTAGGTCCACCCAGAATCCAGAGGGATAGAATACAAGGAGAAAGTCCGCCTGCGTGCACCCAACACATAGCACGCATGTCACTGCACCAGCAGTGTAGAAGGGCACGGCACCTACTACTGCACCTCGTCATCTACGTCACCAACGTTGGCCAGACGCACTTGGCCGATTGCGACGGAGCACCGGTTGAAAGCCAGAAGATGCAGCGCCTTTGTCAGAAAGTCGACCGGCCGCTAAAAAGTCAGGATGTACTGCAGAGCAAAGTTCCCGCGCTTCACCATGCGCTGAAGCCAGGCGTAGCATCGCTCCAAGTGCTTGAGGTTGCCCTTGAGCCCCAAACCCTCGGCTACCGTGATGGCCAACTGGTTGTCCACGTGCAGCATAGTCAGCTTCCCTGCATCGAGCAGTCGGAACTCTGCAAGAAGGAAGTGTAGACGGCGAGCCTCCTTGCCGGCTTCGGTGGCCGCGACGTACTCTGATTCGGTCGACGAGAG